ATGAATTTGACGACCATTTCCTTGATTGGCCGCAAAAATCAAAGTAACTAAATACATTTAATTATAAAAAAGGCAAATATTGCAAATGCAAACAATTTAAAATTCTCACACTAAAAATAGTGAAAGATAAAAGGCAAAGAGTTAAAAATCGGACCGGTCTAGAGACAGGTCTTTGCAAATCCTAGTCTATAAAATCACCTGAAAATACGGAGCATCACTTGGGCTTGCAACATCAATAACTTAAATTTATAAAAAAATAATAAGAATCTATTTTTGATTCATTACAAATGATGAGTTGGAAGCATGACAAAATCTTGCAATTTAAAATAAAAGTCACTGCATTTTAGAACCCATCATTTGCAAAGAAATGCATCAGCAAGCGACAAACTAAGTGCACAATATGTAAACAAGCCACTTAAGAGTTTGATCAGGTCTTACCTTTGAATGTCAGCGTCTTGCTCAAATGCGTGAAGGCGGCCATGAAGGCTAGACATGCAACAAGAGCCTCGCCACTAATGAGCTGAAAGAAAATCATTCACGCAACACATACAAACGATCGAGTCCACACATAGACAAGCAAACAATTAAGAGTATAATATATATCCGAATTCAAGTCTTATGGAGGAGCCGCCGGTTAAACCTAGAAGGGTTCATATTGAAACATGACCATCCGACCCTGAAAACGCGTCCGGCCACCAAGTTCGCGAAGTACCCGATCCGTTTCCTGTGGTGTATCGAAAGCAACCATGGCATCGCCTGTAAGCTGTCCGTTTGGAGCCCGCTTCATTCGGACGGAGTTACGGTCAAAGCGATAACCGGAAAGAAGCTCGAATACCTATGGGGAAGAAGCAGGTTTTAGAGTGCAAAAATATAGAATATTCACTATTAATGATATTACAGCTTACTTGTTCAGGAGTTGTACCAGGGGGCATGTTTCCTAGGTACAGCACGGGTCCACCGAGGCCCGGAGAGGGACCAGAATGGCTCATTCCACCACGGTAGTTTGGCATGGGCGGTCTTCCACCGCGGCGAGAAGGGTCAAAGGGAGG